AGTATAAGGACGTTATAATAACGTTACAGTTTGATGTTGAAAACGTTATTTTGTAGAACCATTCATAGGTTCTTAGAACCTAATTTTACAACGTCAACGTTTGAACGTATCCTGTTTTGTGAACGTTATCTTCTTACATACCTAACCACAACGTTCGCGATCGTTATAAGACCGTTTTGTGTTTGCCGGGTGATAATAATAATTTGTCATCTTAGTATACATCATACGTACACCAGCTATCAAGTATATACGGTATTTTATGCCAGATATCATTGTTTGTATTTCACATTAAAATCTTACACATTGCTATTAATTACTACTGTAGAATCTTTCATAAATTCAATTAGCATAATATTGAACACTATAAACACTATGCCGACGCCAAGAAATCAATGAACAGCACACGATGTAAGTCATGGATGACCAAATTTTGATCGTCGAACATTGTTATAATACGGGAAGGAACCTTGTTTAAATCACCATGTGTACAATGCGAGTACAATACCACTATTTAGCATACATATTGATTTTACAAAATGTGTATACTGTTATGTACATTACATATTGTATCTACATTATTTTTAAATTATTAGCAATATTATGTTAGAATGTAGTAATGGCGATACTTATAAAGCGCCTAATAAGGTAATGGAAGGCGATACAATTAAAAAGCAACAGAATAAAAACACTTTTGAATATCGAACTCAAGAAATACTACATTATATCAAGAGATTTCACGTCTGGAAAACTCGATAGGAAAATCATTTCGCCCAACCTAACTAACCTCAAACTCACTACGTGTCACGATATTTTGGTAAAAATCGAGCCTACGACCTCCAGATCTGTTTCTTATATACTGCTAGACCGCCGATCCTGCACTTGGAGCAGGGTTGAATTCGGTCCCCATTTGATCTCCAATTCCTACTTAAAATACAGAACGGTATATATGACTTTTAGAATAAGTTTTTCATTTTTTTTTTCATTAGGCCTGCAAAATTATCATTATTCGCTGGTTGTGTCTTTCATCTGATAGACGTGTAGGCCTATATATTCTATCCCAAACAATTTAATCATACTCTCTATTGCTAAAACGCAAAATTGCCAACTTTTTCAAATTCAAATTCAAATATTCTTTTATTTGCAATTTCGAAAACAAAATTGAAGGACAACAACACATTCTCAAAAATAAATACGATGAAAAACATAACACAAATACAAATTTAACTTACGAGTCAAAAAATTGGAAAGTAACGGAATTCACAAACAAATTCACAAACGCGTCAAAAGATGATTAAATTTATAATTACAAATAATAAAATCTAAAAGATATCAACAAAAAATACTTTTAACAAATAATAAATATAATACTTTTAAATATCTTTGAATAAATTCCCTGGTTTCAGAGGTATTTAAAAAAAATTCCAATACCTAATACTTTTGCTGTTAAATTTATGATTTGTTGGACATGGTACGATCATCCGATTATACGAATAACATTTTAACGAATTGGTTGAACACAAGATTATTTGTATTGCATCAAGCATGTTTTGAATGAATCGTCTTGTAGAAAGAACCTTTTCAAGCACTGGTAAGTCAAAAGAAAAATGAAACTAAGGTATTATGTTGTTGAGTTGTTTGTGATATGTTTACTATATTGTTGGTTTTCAGTAGTACTGTAAAACGGTGGTGAATCTATAATATTGACCAAAAATTTATTGAAGATTGTGTTGAGGCCTACTTATGATAGAAGTTCTGCTTTTGTGGATGAGGTATACTCTATATCCCTGAGTCTTAATTAATTTGTTAAAAGGGCCAAAATATATTTTAGAGTTGATCTTACGGGCCTAAGGTAATTTCCGCTGAGTTGGAAGCAATTGTTAAAATTACCTGGGTGATTAATTTCTGGGGGAAGCACCATCAGTTTGTCAGCTTTGGAGGGTCCCTTTACAAATTTGATTGATCTCAATTAAAAAAAGCCTAAGTTTAGAGTCTAAACATATTTTTAAAAAAATACAAGTAAATATGAACTTAACTTTTGGTAACTATTTTCCTCATTTGTTCTTTGTATTTTATGAGCACTGTTTTTTGTACAAGTTTTTATTAACAATGTATAATGAAGTTCAAACACTATTGACGAAACACAGTAAACAGAACAGAGAGAAAACTTGGCTGTACATACTGTAAACCGGTTTATAGGCTTTTGTTCAATTTATGGCCTTTTATAGCTTGCTCATATTTTTTTAATCATCTGCAAGCCGTTTTCCCATTAGGTACTAAGTGCACATGACCCCGAAGTTGCATTTTGTTTGTACTTTATTGAAAATGTATTATAACGGGTTTAGCTTGTCTGTTATAGTGTTAGACTAGAAATTCAAGTGAAGTGCTGCGAATTACAACTGCATATAAATGTTCTTCGAACAAAATTATTTATGCGAGTCAAGTGAAAATAATGAATAATAAAAAATATAACAAATAATATGAGACACGACCCATTGTCTATATTAGAACACTGCTCATTGGGTAACAAAGTCGTAATTTTTCATTT